ATATATATATATATATATATATATATATATATATAACACCCTGATCATGCCAAATCTCTCATTTTTTTAAGAACAATGAAACCCCAAGGATTGTGTTAACCAGAAAAGTAAAAGTCTAACACAGCCCCCGACCCAACCACAAATAGCACACATGTTTTGCATGAAGCACCCAGACAAGAAAACGTTTTGCAGTTTTTGCAGGAAAACCTGAGGGAAAGCAGATTCATATGTCACAGCCAGCATAAATATGGTGGCCCTGTTTTCACCTAACCTTTAATATGCTAAACAATGGAGAGGGGGAAATCAAGGTGCGTAGACACAGTCCAATAATTGAAATCACCAAACCATCTTTTCGGCTTTCATGTGAAACCAAGAAAGGAGAGTCTCATTACGGCACGAAACTTCAATTGGAAAACCGCATCTGCTACTTTCTAATACAGTTGTCCGTATGTTTTTGCAAGGAAAAGATTAAAAACGCTCACATCTCCGTAACCCAATCAACAATAGAAAACCATAACCCATGGTCATCGCCAATTGTTAAAAGGATTGATGCTGATAGAAAGAGGGAGCGGCCCACCAGACAGGACATGACTCCATTGGTTGGTCCCACTCTCTTGGTCCCTGCCCATCTTTTCGTTCGATGACCATGAGTGATAACTTAAATGGACTAATCTCCTGAATAATCTATTCCATAAGAGTATACTCTACCCCCAAAAAAACAAACAAAAGGAAATGGTATTCTGGTCAATGACTAGAGGCAGCATCCAAATCTATCACTTTGTTTAGTTTTTTAGGAAAGGTTCAAGCTACAACTGGAAGTCCAAATCAAGAAAAATGATGAATAGTTGAATAAAACAGAAAATAAAAACTAATTCATTCACGAGACAAGGTGATTCTCAAAGCAGATCTTAATCAAGGGCGTCAGCACCCACTGAAAATCCCCATTCCTGAAAGCACTTTCAAAAAGTCTGATAACAGTTGAGAATTCCAATCAAAGTAAAGAATACAAGAAGGAAAACCCACATCAGACAAGAAAAATAAGAGAAAAAAAATACTTTATAGCCACCACATGTGCTGGTGTGCAACATCAGCGTTTAAATATGCGGGCTCGGGCTCAAACGTGCCAGGGTCTTGAGTCTGAGTCGGTCTCAGAATTAGCTGAGTCTGTGGCCCAGCTTGGCCAATTTTCTCAAATTGAATTTTCTCAAAACTATGGTATAACTGGCATAGTTTTGGCACTGTGAACTGTCAAATTGAATTTTCTATCCTCTGACTATATAACCAGGAGAAATTAACAGATTGCAATAAGAAAAAGATCAAAAAATTAAACACTAATTCAAACAACAATTGGACCTCCAATCAATGATCACTGATGAGAAATAGAATCACGACTGAAAAAAAATCTCAAAAAACAGTTTCTTGAAAGTGAACACTAACCACTCAAGCAAAATGAGGACATCTTATCCGGAGAGTTCAAATAAAATAAAAAAAGTAATTGAAACAGAAAATCTATACTTTCTCTGTGTTCCGTTGAACCAAAAGTAATTAAACAAGATACCCGAAGTACATAAGAATAGAAATTTCTTTTCTTTTATGATTCAAGGAAAATGATTTCCTCCACCAATACAAGACCAATACCAGAGTTCTTTAAATTACACAACGATTTAGAGAACTTTAATAATGACAATGATAATGATAATGATAGTAATAATAATAACTATTATCATTATAATAACAATAATTATAGTACTAATAATAATTAGAGAACTTACAACATATGCAAGCAATTAAATTGAGCATGCCTAGGATCAAATTTCAGTTACCAAGTACAAAGAATGGCAACAAAACACAAATTTCGATCCACTACTTGTCCAAAATTAAGAAAAATTTACACAAAAATAAATACAAATGTAAGAATAGTCTATATGTGATTTCCCATCAAATCTTAAAAAGGAAAAGAAAAAAGGAGGCATATTTGTAGAATTTCTCAGAAAAGCGGAGAGCAATTTCAGTATAGTTTCTTAGAGAATGAGGTTTAAAGAGCCACCTTAAGGGGTTTCGGGGCATTTAAAATATTTGGCCAAAACAAATTATGACAAAAAATTGGCTTAACTTCGGAACTCTATTCCAAAACAGAATACCTAGATGGAAAGGAAAATATCTTTTTATATTTTATAGGAAAAGAAACATTTTTCACACATTTATACTTCAGACGTAGTTATATATTGCAAATTTATATCTTTTATATTTAACCTTACAGATTGGATGCCATAGAAAAGCCGAAGGAAAATCCAATTTTGGTCCTTAGATTGTTTCATATACGCAAATAATAATACATATATAGAAAAATTAAATAAAATTATAGAGAAATATACAACCGTAATAAATATAACTAAGTTTACTATAAAAATTAACAGAAAATACTTAATATAAAAAATGCTCATATACTCAGGCAAATAATGGAAATAAAAACTAAAAAATTCAAGATATGATAAATAAAAATTGAAAAAAAAAACTTACAAACATTGAAGGAGACAAAAAGAATCCTAATATCAAGCGCAACAAAAAGCATACAAAGAAAAAAAAATTATCAACATGAAAAGGTAGAGATAAAAAGAGCCAAAAAAGGGAGAGAAATAGAAACAAAAGAAATAAAATTTTAAAAAATCAACAGATAATATAACCCCATATAACATACGAAAATATTATGTATCGAAAAAAAGACATTGAACGGAAGTTACAGAAAAATAAACACCAAAATGCTGAGCAAAACTATTAGAATGGTTGGCATAAAAAAATTGATAAAATGGCAAAAAAAAAAAATCGTTAAATACTTAAAGTTAAACATTTTCAGGAAAAAAATACTTCAAAAAATTAATACTTTCGCTCAAAAAGTAATCACAAGAAGATAGGGAACAAAAAAAAAAAAGGCAAGGAAAGTGAAAAGAAAATGTCAAAAAATGGAAGAAAAATACATCAATAGATCCAATGAATATGACAAAAAAACACACATTTTGATCAGAAAAAGCAAATAGGCACAAAAAATACACATCGAGATACGCAAAAATGGCAGAAGAATCGCACCTTTGAGGACCTGTAACTGTTTCTCGATAACCTGAGACCAGCAGAAGTGGGAGTAGGCGTTAGTGGCCTGTAATCAATTTCTCCAGTTGATGTTGCTTGATAATCCGATAGTCTACCAGTTGAATCAGCTGGAGAAGAAGAATCATCGAGTGTTTTTGGCATATAAGTACATAGTCGAAGCCCTAGAGCGCTCTTCGCTTTTCTCCATTTACTCTCCATTTTCAACGCAAAAACGAAGAAAAAACCAGCAAAAAAAGCACAATCAAGGAGCGAAAAAACCAGAGTTCAAATACAAGAGATAGAGAGCTTTTCACACTGAGATTTAATAGAAGCTAGGGGTTCCCCTTTCAAAGGCCCCAAATCCTAAAAAAAAAGGACTAGGTTTTACTTTGTCCACGTCTTCGGCTCCGTAATAATGGCGGCTAGGGTTCAAAGTGTGGGAGCTGGAAAATCAATGATCATGGCCGGCAAAGGGTACGATTTTTCTAGGGTTTGAGATTCATTGAAAAGGCCGCCACGGGTTGAATTTCTAGGGTTTTGAGTGCGAAAACCAGGTCAATGAAGGAATTAGTCAGAAGTTCAGATCTCTCCATTGCTTCTTCTTCTTAGCGGCCGCCATTGAAGCTCTGGTTTTGACCTTTTGATGAAGCAGCTGCCATGGCGGACAGCGATATACCACGCAAAAAACATATGTAAGAAAAAATCGTTAAATATAACGTTGGAGCCCTTTTTAATGATGGACCACGGAAAGTTGGTGTGCAAGTGCCACTGTTTTTTGCTTCAATTTCATTAGCGCCCTTAAAATTTTCTTGTATTTAGTAGCCAGAAAATATTTGGGAATATAATTGGAAAAACCTTTAATAACCATAATATCCTTTTGTTATTTATTATGTCTTTAATTATTTTTTATAATATTATTTTGTTATTTATTATGTCTTTAACTATTGTCTTTTGCAATGAGATTGGGGTCGTAGTAGTACTACTACTTAAACTCCAGTTAAAAGTCACGATTTTCATATTCACTGACACTTTAAAAAAAAGTCGATCTATAAAAAAAAAAATATATTATTTTAATTAATGATAAAATATGCTTAAGAAAGACTTCTACCAGAACTTTTCATCGATTTTATGATATTTCCAGATTCCAAATTTAAAAAATCCCAATAAAAAATACAATTCTAATTCTAGTAATCTTCACTTTATTATTATACTTGAAGCTCCATAAATAATACGGATTTAGCTTATTTGTGGACACTTCAAATGGATTATTTAGATAATTTGTTGTTGTATTATTTTAAGGATTAATTATTCGTCACATCTATAATTGCAGTGGTTGAGATAATTGATTTGAAGGTTTTCTGACTCTAAAACTCAATTTTATGAGAGATTCGATTTGCGGCTTTACAAAGTCATGGCTCTAAAATACAGTTTCGCCTACTTAACGAAGGCGATGAGTTAAAATAAATGAGATTAATCAAATAAATTGGAAAGTGTTTAAGGATAATGACATTTTTCAAGTAAGGCCATTGTTGTGTCCTAATTAAAGTTAATCAAAGAGTTGACCCAAAGTTGACGAACATTTTCTAATGAGATATTAACATTTTCTCAAGAGATAATACCCTCATTGTGCTGGACTTTTACACTACTCATAAAATTTACCAGAAAGTGCCCTCCATCTGTGTCCATTAATATGAATCACACCTACATTAATGCTCTCCACCTATCCTTTTTTTTTTTTTTATCTTCTATTAAAAAAGAGAGTTCTTAATATCACCTAACATTGGATGTAACTAAAGATAATACTTGATAAATAGCTATATTTACATTCTTTCTATGTGCATGTTACCAACCCCTAGTAATTCTGGTGTTGCCCAAAGAAGGGCCCCAACTATGTTATAAAATTCAAATTAATTAAAAATAACCAATTAACCTAATTTCCTTTAAAAAAATAGAAGACTCTAAATATCATTTAAAAAAAATCTCAGTGGCTTTTTCCAAAAATAAGGCTGTAATTTTTTCCCTAAAATAAAGGATAATTTTGATATTGTGAGAGCAATGTCTTTGGGGAGCAGCAAGCTCCCTATTTCACCCAACTGTTGGTGTCCTATTGAGCACATGGTGACTTAATTTAGAATTTAAGACATCTTGACATATTTTTGAAACAAATAAAATAAACTATTTTCTATACAAAATTCAAATGTAACACCCCTCACCCACCCCCCCCCAAACCCCAAGTAGTTTCTATCAAAAGTTATTCTTTGACCAATAAACTATTATTTACATTATCCAAAAGATAGAAGCCTTAACACAATAACATGCAAACTTTTATTTATTGTTCAAATAAGTAATTTACAAAATGCTGGGTTGGCATAGAATCGTGATGTTCAGCAAACTTTTATTTATTGTTCAAATAAGTAATTTACAAAATGCTGGGTTTGATATAGAATCGTGATGTTCAACTTGGGAGTCAGTCACCCTGTACCAATTCTGTCAATATAAAAAAAATTGTCCAGGTCTAGTAGAAAATCGACAGTTCACTACAGTAGAACAATATTTTGCTACAGTAAAAATGTTGATTCACTGGCCAGATTGGTTTTTAGCTGGTTCCTTGTTTTTGTATATTTTTTTTGAAGGCTTATTTTTTCCGCACAATAACACCGTGATTTGGAGCACCAATTCATTGATGTGGATCAGTTTTTGCGATGCCCAGTCCAAATCACCGATCCGTTTTTTAAATCACTGGATCAAATAGATAAATTATTAAAAGTCCATATTATACAAATTTCATCCATCTATTTTTTAAATCACTTGTTCAAATAGATAAATTAATAAAAAATCATATTTATACAAATTTGACAACCCCCTTTACACCCCCCCACCAAAAAAAAAAAGAAAAAGAAAAAAAAAAACAAGTAGTTTCTATTTGTTTCTTTCAAAGATTATTAATTGACCATAAAATAATTTTTTATAATATTGATACTACAGTATCCTAAAAAAATGTGGCCTTCAATGAAACATAAAACACTTAGAAAAGATAAGGATGGTGCACAGCAATTGGCAAGGGTTCCAATCTCATTATGACTCATGACTGGATTTGCACCAAACGTGCACACCCCACGTGTGTAGAATGATAATCCATTGAAAACCCTTCATTGAAATTATTATTTTGACCTTTTTTTTTGTATTTTTCTTACTTTTTCTTTTACCCTTCATTCGAATTATTATTTTGACCTTTTTGGGTGTAGTTTTCCTGTTTTTTAGTATCATCTGACTTTCTTTTTCATGTTGGGATGAGTTCCGTTCTCTCTCTCTCACATTGGAATATTATTATTTTGACCCACTTTTTTGTTGGGTATTATTGACTTTCTTTTTGTATGTCGGAATGAGTGCTCTCTCTCTCTCTCTAACATGCATCACCTCTCTCTCTCTCTCTAGCATGCATTGTCCTCGAGTACTTGAACAATGAGCTTTATTATCCCAAACTAAAATATTAAAAAAAAA